TGCCCACGAGGCCTTGGTCCACATACGTGTACAAACCAAAGATGCAATGGGTCCCAGCACAGTCTGCCCAAGCTAGCTCCCTATGCACTAGGAACAAAGCAAAGAACTGACGTTCTCATGGGTAACAAGAAGTCAAAGCCAGCTGGGATAAATATTGGAAATCTATTTCCTATTTGAAAACACACTCGGCATAACAGTAATATCCATGTCTGTCTGTCTGCTGTCTGTCTGTCTCTCTGTGAGTGCAAGTTCTTCACCTACTTGATTGCAGGAAAACAAGAAAATTATCTGTGTATGGACTTATAAGTGAGTTCCCTCAAAATCCCTAGGAAGAACAAACCTTGAATTCCTATGGCTAGGGCTTTGTTTAAAATGGCGCAGGAGTCTGAGACAAGCAGAAAAGGTCAGATAAGTTGATGTTAGGTGAAATGAACCCCAAGGTAAGTATTCAAATGTTTTTGCTTTCATGTGATTGTTTCTAACATATTTATAAGATGATTTCTTTGTTGCTTTGTATGTCCCTCCCCCATGGTATAACCCCTGCTTTCACTGTATTTGATGTTGATATACTTTGGGGAGGGGAAGGGAAAAAACAAATTATTTAAATAGGGATACAGGTGAACCCACTGCAACAATGAGATGTACAAGTCGTTATGTTGAAAACGAACTTTACAACTTTGGCGGGGGGTGGGGGGACGGGGGAGGGGGGAGGAGAGGAGGAAGTGGAGGGAGATGGGAAGGGATGGGCAGGGGAAACAAAGGAGGAGGCAACAATGCTTGATAAGAAATGTACTCATTGTCTTGCCCATGTAATTGTAACCCCTCTGTATGGTGTTTTCACAATTAAAAAAAAAAATTCAGAGGGAAAAAATAAAATGGTGCAGGAGAACATTGTTCACCAATGCTTTCACCTGAGTCAATATCACTGATCACATAACCATACCAAGTCACACAGAACCTCCCCTGCTTCTCTTATACTCTCCCAATGAGTCATAACTCACCTGAGGAAGGCCACATCCAATCCAGTACCACATCACCCACACCTCACAGAAATGCCGGCAGCCATGAGTCCAGACAGCTCGGCAAAATACTTCTGTATAGACATTGAGCTAAACCTAGACATCAGGGAATGTTGTTCTGAAATCAGGTAGGTCCTGAGCAACCCCAAGACACAGTCTTTGGGAAACAAAAGAATTGCAGTTCACTAAGTCATGAGGATCTGTTCCAGTTTTAGAAATTCAATTTAGCTTGGGTAAGCTCAAGCCCCATCAGGAGGTTTATTATTCATAAATATTTCCTTCACACTGGAAATCTCCCAGCAACCACTCTACATGTTCCTTTCAGTAGCCATCTACTCCTGCACTTCAGGAAGGAAATTTAATTCCTGGAGTCTCTTGGGGTAACCAAGATCAAGATATATACCAGAACATCTAGAAAAATTATTTTCTTACACAAAAATATCTGTTGTTTCTAGCTAAACATGTCTCACAGAGGAACAATCTAGACTCAAATAGCCCTGTTTATATTTCCAAACGTGCTTGAATTAATTTGAACATTTGTGACTCGTGATGTAAACAACTATTTCACTCCATTAGAAAAAGTGAGTCAAGAAACAATGAGCCCCTGACCTGACTAAGCACACAGCAAAGGGATTTTGTTCACAGAGAGTAAAAATCTCTGTGTATCTGTATGTACACACACACACACACACACACATACAGGATTATTACCCAGTTTCAAGGCACAAAGAATGCTTGGATTTGACTGGCTGTATATTCAAAAGTTTAGGGGCATCCTGGATAATATGCAGTGGGTTTGTGTCATATTCCATATCAATTAATACCATGATAATGACAACACCATGAATTACAAGACACCTACTTCCCAGCCAATGACTCAAGACAATGTATAACATGACAAAGTTCTAGCCAAGCCCAACCTGTTCAAGTCCTAATATACCCGGATTGTTTGGGGATAGAAATAATTTTAAAACGCCCATCAATCACTCCTGTAGTCCTCACTATTTTACGAGTTAAACAGAGACTTCAACTAAACTTGGAATATTTGGAATAATGTATGCTTTCTTGAAAATAATCAATAAGATTTTGGAGTGTTCATTTTAGGATCAAGTGACTACTATGCAAATCTCGTAACATTTGTCAATTTCTGTCTTCCTGGGTCCTAACTCCTTCAATGCTTGTAAGCAGCTTGCCTCATTCGCTATTAACAGGAAGTGCACATGAATGTAACAGATCACTCTAGATACTCATAGTCACAAAGGAAATTGAATTTCAATGGAATGCGATATTAAGCTCAAACAAAAATTCCAAAATCCAGAAATTAAGAATAAGAAATTAAGCAACTTAGGTTCTTTAGGGAAATTCTTAGATTCTTCTTGAAATTTTTATCCAGTCTTTCTTTGACTATTTTTCTGGCTTTGATCTTTACTTAATTGCAGAGGCAAAATCCTGTAAGAGACTTACCATTATAATAATGTATCATGTACATATATCATACTCAACTAGTTTTACCTAAAAGTAACGTACCACAGGTGAGTAACAATTTGGATATATACAGTGTCGTTATCCTATAATTATCAGGTAAATCTCCAATTTCTTTTTCCCCCACAGAAGCAAGCATCTTTTTATTATCTAGATAAGGAAAAGCTTTATTCATTTCCTCTTGAAGTTTTCCATTCGATTGGTTCTTATACATCCAAGAAAGACTCGCTGTTTCTATGGTGTGAAGGTGCATTCAACTGGAAGAAATTCCAGCCATTAAAAGGCACAAAGTTACACCACTCTGTAGAACTCACAAAGCACTGGGCATGCAGATAGCACTGGCAGACCAATGGCATGCCAGGAGAAAGCCAGGGCGTGGGACACAAAGAGTACATCACCGGCTCAGCCACCACCATGCCTCAAGTTCAGACTCCAGGATCCCCAGGAACCACAGGGTGAACACTGGAGCAATTGCTCTCAAAGTAAGCACCAGATACCCAGGGGCACCGGCCTCCTATGGAAGAGCCCACAAGATCAAAAACATGGTTGGTCTCATGAAAGATGCTATGAATATAAACCATGTAGTTTGATCTTAAGAGGTACTATTTGCTTTCTTAAATCTCATTCTCTCACAAGTTCACAGTGGAATTTTCCAGAGGCTGATACCATGAGACTTTGCAATCAATTGAACCCAAAAGCAGAGAGGACAATTTGGACATTGTCTGTCCAGCCAGAGGTCATAAGATGTACAAAACATCGCCACTCTTCAGTGACAAGAGTGGATTGTTGGGATTTTTATCTTTCTGCTTGGGAAAATATAATTACTTTTCATAAAGAAAAGTTTTCAGTTAGGTTATCATGCAGTGGGTCTATTTCTTTTTTGTATTTTTTGGTTGTTCTGAGCTGTTTTATTAGCATAAATTAGTTGTGTGAAGGGCTTCTGTTGTGCTGTTTCATACATGCGTATGAAGTGCGCCGATCATATTCACCTCCCCTGTTATGGACTCTTGTCGCTCCCCTTTTTTTACAACCTGTAATGGCTTTCAATTCACTTCTATTTTTGGACATGCATACAATGTAATGCCATCATTTTTTAGTGAATTACTGAATAAACCTTTAAAATTTTATTCATTTTAATTTCTGAGATAGGATACCTCAATAGATATAACCAACATAAATGCAAGTTGGGGGAGGGTGGCTTCAGGCACTTTAAAGAGTGAAAATATGTCATGAGAACCAAAGGCTTGAAATGACTAGATGCCCCGGGCCTCTCCAGAAGCTTTAGGCAGCAAAGCATTATGATGGTAAGGTTGAAGGTCAATGGGAAGGAATTCCATGGGGCCCACGGGAGTAGCCAGGGAGAGTCAGTGTGAGCCGGGGACACCCCCCCTCCTCCGCACTCCCTCAGGAAACCCCCCTTCAGTGAGCAGACATGATGACCTTTCACCCCAGAGGACACCGCTCTGCTGCTACTCAGCAGAGTGAGGAGGAGGAGCATCCTGACCCCGAGTCTCACTCAGCACCCAGCCCAGCCTGCACAGCACAGACTGCAGAGAACTGGAAGCATGCTCAGGGTGCACCGCCCCACCCCCACATGCCAAGGAGGGTTTGCAGGACCCCAGGAGACGGCCATGACTGTGAACTCAACTGGGAAATGCCAGCACAGCCTCCATCCAGCTGGAGAAAAGAATGGGCTATCCACAAAAGGAGACTTCATTTATAATTCTTACCAAGTTCAAGCTTGCAGAATCTAACCTCTCCAGAGTTCTCAGAGCCGGTGGGGCTGTTTCTCATGGCTGCTCCCAACCACTTAAGCCAGGGAGCTGAAGTTAACCATGCATTCATATTTCCTTCACATCTGGGCACTTCTGGATCCTCCACAGTCCGGCTCCGGGACCACAAACTTCCCACCCCAGACTGCGAGTTCCCAACCCTTGGAAGCCATGCTGCTCCTTCCTGCCATTTAAAGGCCACCAAGAGGCAGCCTGCAAGTGTTCTGTCACTGCTTTTGTTGTATGTGCCGGTGAATGGCTGCAGGGAAAGCAAAGCTCCCAGGGCAGCCCCAGCCTGGGACACGCACTGCATCTGGGTGCTGGGAGGGAGGGAGGCAAGTTGACAAGCCTTTCTTCTATGCAGTGAGCACTTCACAGTTTTCAAAGCACTTCTCTCATTTGACCTCATTTTATCCTCACCACAACTCGGATGTGTTCTCACCAACACTAATGAAGAAATCAGAGAACTATATTTGTATTGTGATTATCATGTGCCCCAAATGGGAGTCCCCTTGGGGGAGGAACTTGGTGTTTACCACTGCATTTAGCTAGCTCAGTTTTTTTTTTTTCTGTGAAGCCAGACCACGACGTCAGCTGTGAATCGTTCAAACCCACTGGAAACAGAAGAGCAGACGTGAACCATCAGCTGAGCTGGGGAAGGCATGCTGTGTGCCCAGGGCTGCCGAGGGGAAAAGGGTACAAAGCCAGACTGCGCGTATCGCCTTACCATTTTCGCCCGAGGTCTTGTCTTTTCCATTGGTTGCTCCAGAACCTTGTCGCTAAAAACAGTTGGGGGGACAAAAAGGAAAGAAAAGAAACAATCAGATATAATCAGAATTGTCGGTACCACTTGCACTGGTTCAAATACCTCTGGAATTATACTGCGCTAAGCTCTGTTTGTATGCTCGAGCTTTCAAGACATTCTACTGCAGCTGAGATAAAACACGGTGCTCGTGGGCCAGAAAAGGATCAGCCCTGAGAAGGGCCTGTTGACATTGCAGACCCTGCCGTGCCCCTGTGCATGGCTTACTGAGCACAGCTCTCCAGGCATGAGGAAGCCAGACCAGAGCCAAGGTGTGAGGAAGAGGACCCAGCTTTGTGCTCACTGCCAGGAGATCGAGACTGGCCTTCATCAAGGATGTCCTCACAGATGGATTCTCTTACCAATGTACAAGGTCCTCTTGCTAATACACTTTATCACTACACCACTTTTAAGCTGCTAGTGTTGCCTCTATGTCTGAGCCATTTTTTTCTGTTGATGCCTATCCTGGGCATTGTCCTTCTACCAACTTGGCCAGAATTACAGAGAGCTGAAAGGTTAGATCTGAGTCTCTGGGGAAAAGCAGTCTGGGTGTGTTTGGGGAGGCACACGAAATGCACCACAGGTGGACAGAAATACACCCCCCCGGCAGATCACATCATCTCAACAGCTGGTCTCATTCGTGGAGAGACATTCTGTCAATCCAAGCTGAAAAATACCAAAGAGACTGCACAGTCTCCAACATTCAGAAGAATGGGAAGAAAGCATGGCGTGCGGGGTCATGATGCCAGGAGGGGTAGGGGCTGCGGTTCTCCTGAAGAGAACAGCCCACAGGACTCACCATTACGACCTATGTGCAGGAACGGGGTTCCAGAAAGATCCTATCACCAAATGAGGGGCACCAGCTCCAGGTGACCCCCATAGATAAATAAACATCCCCTCGGATTTATACTTGGGTCCACAACATGAGCCTAAAAATGACCTTGGAGCTGTAATAACTGAGCCTTCGTTGTTTGGCCGTGCCACAAGGAACTCACGGGACACTGTGCACTTGCCATTTATAAACACAGGCCAGCTGCGTGGTGTAAATAAGTAAATGGCAACGATGTACATTGGAAAAGCTAACCATCCTGTGGGTGCTTGTGGCCATGGGCCAATGAGAGCCTGAGAGCAGATCAAGGCTCTGTACCACCACCGCCCCTCAGCCTGCCAGGGGTCTGTATGAGCACCAGCGCCTGCCTTGGTGAAGATGCGCTGGCCCACTCTGCAAGACTCAGGCAGGATAGGGAACAAAAAGGGGCACATGGTGGGAAAGGTCACAGAAATGCTAGTCCCTTCTTCGTCTTTAACTTGGGACGTCCGGAGTTTCAGCTAGAGCAGCTGTGTCACATGGAGATCGGAGGTCACCATCCCTAGCCAATTATCAACTGACCCATGACATCCCCCCATTCCCCAGGGAGCCTGGGCCACCTATCACCTGCTATACACATGCTCCCTGCAGGTAGCAACTAGCCAGGACCAATATGCTTCCTACCCGCTGGCCCTCAGTCTGATGCCTCCTCAGGTTTTAAAATCGGGTTAGTTTGAGGCACATGATGGAAATCTGACAACTGCTGAGTTGAGCCAAGTGAGTGACTCAGCCACAGTGGTGAACACCTCCACTACCCAAACCCCCTGCAAAATTCATAGCCAGCCACAGTGGTGAACACCTCCACTACCCAAACCCCCTGCATAATTCATAGCCAGCCACAGTGGTGAACACCTCCACTACCCAAACCCCCTGCATAATTCATAGCCAGCACAGAAACAGAATTCTGCAGACTAGAAGCAGAATGTTCTCGTGTGGAATGAAGTCAAATTAATATGGAACCCAAGTGGGAAATAGGTGCCGGCCCAGCCACACTCGCGTAGAGCCTTCCACGCGAACACCTTTCAAATGCCATGAGTTTCACTGCGTTCCACAAAAGAGAACTTCTCAGAAACCAGAGGGAGATGGTGGTAAAATGTGCACAGGGAAGCAAGGAGTCACTCTTTCAGAATTTCTAAGATTGGGTGTTTTTTTTTTTTGGTGTCAGGTCTTATTTGATGGAGGTAAAATGAAGATGTCACTGGAGATGGCATCTCAGATCAGAAAACGATCCTGACAAGAAAGAGCTAGTCACTGAGAGCATCTTATTTCAGAATTCGTGGCAACCTGGTGACATTTTTAAGGGAAGACTGAGGGCAAAGGAGGTGGGGGTGCATCAAAGAGCTGCTTTCTCCCCAGCGTCTGGTCTTTATGCAAGAATGCTTTGCCACCATACTCACACAAGGCAAAGGGTTTTCCCTGAACTAAAAATTGGCAGGTCTGTGCCAGTGTTGGAATAACCGCAGGCCCCACTGGCAAAGCCAGGCTCTCACCAGCTCCACGGACCCTAGCGGCATCCTACGTGAGGAGGATGCCATGATCATTGTCCTCACTTGCCACCTGTGTCCTCCACACAGAGAAGATTGTGCTGCAGGCCCCAGGGCTGAGGTCCAAAGTCACAGCCAAAGCCGTGGCTCCAGGCTCTCTCGGCCACTGTCTATGCATATCTCTGAGCAGTGTGTGCTGCGTCCCTCCTGGGGCTCATCCAGCAGGAGGTAGGGGAGACGGGGGGGGGGGGAAGATTTGGGCTCGAAGGTTAATGTGATTTCATCACCAAATCAGGCAAAGAGTTCACAAGAAAGTGGGAAGGAGTCCAACAAGAGTGAAGGGCTCAGTTCTAGAAATACAGGATTGTTTTTTAAGTTCAAAAATTGCAAGCAGCAGAGCTAGGCTGCGGTGCTTAAATAAATTGATGGATAGGAAATAGGGGTGTGGGGGGTGGTGGATGGGTGGGTGGGAAAAAGGAGGAAAAATAGGAGGGATGGTTAGTTGGATGGGCAGGTGGACAGGTGGATGGATGGATGGATGGATGGATGGGTGGGTGGGTGGATGGATGGATGAGTGGATGGATGGATGGATGGATGGATGGGCGGAATGGATGGATGGATGGACGGATAGATGGACGGATGGATGGATGGATGGACGGATGGATGGACGGATGGATGGATGGATGGATGGATGGATGGATGGATGGATGGGTAGATGGATGGATGGATGGATAGATGGATGGGTGGATGGATGGATGGGTGGGTGGGTGGATGTAAAAGACAATGATGGAAAAGCTTCTTTTTCATGAGGTGGTGGATGTTCATGTCCTTGGAAAATGTTGCCTGCCTCTTCACACTACTCCAATCCCCAAGTGAGAAAAGATTTGGCTCCTTCCTCTACCTTCTGCCATGCCAACACCACTCTATTATCCTGAGCCTCTATGCTGTCCCTTGAAAAGAATTAGTTGTATCTCAAGAATAGCCTATGTTATCAGCGGACTAATCAATAAAATCATATGTTCAATGGCACAATCCTGATCTATTTCCTAGGAAATCAGAAATGATTCAGCGGTATCATGACCACCACCTCTGTGCTATTCAGCCAGGTATCTATATCATTAATGTGTTAGTTCATGCACAACGCAGGGAAGTTCTTCCCTGGCCAGAAGCAGAGCCATAATCACTATTAATGCAGAAGACATTCTTGCAGACAGGCTGTCAGAATTGTGTAAAAAAACCACATGCTCGTGTACATGAGAGTTTCAGAAATGTGCCCTTCGTGTCTATTTGACAGCAGAAGTCTGCTTTGATGTTTTCTGATGGATCTAGAGAGTGAGAGGACTGTGGTGGCCATAGCAAGCATAGACAGATGGATAGACAGACAGACAGACAGATAGGTGATAGATAGATAGATAGATAGATAGATAGATAGATAGATAGATAGATAGATAGATAGATAGATAGATAGATAGATAGAGATGATATAGAGATAGTAGAGGTTATTATTTCCTCAGGAGCAGAGGACCTAGTCTTAGAGGCCAAAATTTAGCATCCAATTCAACCACAGCAAAGCAGCACCCTTAGACGTGCTCAGGAGAATCCCAGGAGAATCGCACCAGGAGTTTTTCGATCTGCTCTTTGACATAGTGTTTGAGGGGGCGTCCGCTCCGACCGTCTCCAGCCTGCACCTTCACCCTCCACAGCACCGTCACACGCCGCGGGCAGGGTCCTCTGCCATCTGCTTCCTAAGTTGTGAGAACTCTGGTGCTGACTCGAGCTCCGTGTTTCTCCTCCCAGGGCTCACTGCCCCACCCCCAGCCCGTGTCCTCCATTTTCAAATATGTTAAAGCAAAGTCACTGTTGTTATCCCCAGAGTCCTCTTGGAGGGTCCGAGGGTCCCCCGTGGACAGCGGCTCCCACTTAGGTTTCCCGTCATGGTAACAAATAGGAAAACTACTGGGTTAACACACAGACATGTCCTCTTCCAAATGACTCATTTCACTATTATCCTTGTTAGGATCAGGACGTGCAAAGTGCCGCCTAACGACACAACATGTAATTTTCACTTGACACTGTGAAAGTTGTCTTCTGCTCTCTCTGCTCCATGCTGCTAGCCTGTGTGTCGGCGGGAAGTCTATGGAAGGATGATGGATGGACGCAGGACCGGACAGAGCCACCGCTCTGGGCTTTCCTCCTCACAGACGGGAGAAGCCATTCACACGGCTCAGGGGAATGTTTATCTTTTCACTGATGCCCACTAATAAAAATGCCACATCCCCCACTTAATAAAACCTGACATGAAAGTAACCTACATAAACACTGAGTACGCAAAAGATCCTCATGCCTTGAAAAATTCATTCTGACCGTCTAGCGCGCAACAACCATCCAAAAAACACCACAAGAGGCATTTAAAGATAGAATTTCTGAAGTGAATTTTCCTGACAATCTATAAAATAATAACAACAACAACAAAATGTGTCTGCATCTGGGTTCCTCAGAAAGCACTGTTTGTACGATAGCTTTGACAGAGAGGGCCATGTCAGGAGTGGGGGTGGGGGACAAGGAGGGAGATGGGGGGGCACTGCTGGCAAGACGCTTCAGCAAGCTGGCCATCATGAGGTGTGG